CAAACTAAGAGGAGGGAGCTTTTCCTAGATTCCGGGGGCACTTCGGCATCTTCAAGTGCACATGCTTGCATCTCTGTGAGGTCACTTCCAGTTGGGATTTTATGCGTTTCACATCTTATTCTGTTGAAATGAATAGCTTCCTTCCCGACCAACATTTTAATTCGAGGTGTTCTCCAGCTTTATATACTTTGTCAAGGAAGGACACTGAAATAACAGGATATTTTTATTCAGATGACAGCATGGCTGAAATGAATTACCCAGAACTTACTGGTAATAATCATGAGGACAGTATTACACCAATTATGAGTTCAGAAGAAGTGTTTATTGCCTTCTTTAGCGGTTGCTGTGCAGGGCACAAGAAGGTATTGCATAAGCTGAGACACTTAATAGATAAGAGAGAGATTAATGAATAAGCTGACCTTTCCCCGTTGCTGCTTTTATCAAAGGAAAAATGTTTCTCAGCGTTGGGCAACTAAATAAAAAGAGCCTCATTCCAGAAACAGAGGTTCCTCATAACACACCAAATGTTTCTGAGTCTCTTCTGAGCCATGTTGTGGCAGGGGAAAGCAAACAGGAGCTGGTAGTTTGGAGGAGGGCCAGCCTCAGAGAACAGGTCCTCGACCCCCAACACCGTCAAGACTGGAAGAAATCATTGTATCATCCATGATGTCCAGATGCTTCCCTGCCCATGCTGAAGCCTCTCCTCTTCCTCAAGGCCGGGAAGACTGTCCTTCCGCCAGTGGACAGATCCCCGTTGAGGCCCATCGGCTCACCGGACACCCCATTATTACTGCCGCCTGATCCCCCATCATTGTTCCCTTTCTACCTCGTGACACGTCCCAACGCTTGGTACCTGCGTCACCTTTGAACATTCTGACGTCCTTCAGCATGCAGCTGTGTCTTTGGAGTCTGCCTCTTTCCCTGTATCACCCTCTGCCCTTGCACTTGGCTCGGGTGGACGGGTCCTAAGCTTGGTACAGACACTAACTCACTCCTTGTCTGCCATATGTGGCCACAAATGAGCAACCTCGCTCCTGTGGAACACTGTAGCCAAAAACCCAATCTTGAAAAAGATACTTGTGACAAATTCATTTCGGACTTCCTGTATTATTATTAAAACGGTGGTCAACAGTCAGTCTACACAATTTGAGATGCACCTTGATGTCAAAAAATGTTTCCAAAAAGTTGAGGATAAATGAAATTTTGATAAATTTATTATAAACTGTTTAGTATACACTTCTCATTTTAGTAAGTCTGTACTTAGAATTTGGGGAAATTAACTTACTCATAAGTTAATTTAGAATGGGAAAGAAAACACATAAGTACAATATTGGTAGATTACAAGTGACAAATGTTGGAAGAATTAATGAGCAAGCGAACGAATGCATTGGTGTTACTGGGCAAAAACAATAAATGAAATATTGAATACTGTGGGATATAAGCGTATATACAGTTTTTAATGATAAAGGGATGGTGGTTATTTGGTAGAAACCACACCAGGAATAATGTTATACAGTCAATATAATCTCAGTGTATAACCCTGTAAATGTGAAGAAGCTTAAGAGTACTAGCCACTGGATGAAGGCTATTATAGGTCACTTTTATATACTTTATATTTTCTGTATTTTCTACCTTTTCAATAAGCACATATTACTATTAAAAGACACTATTTTCAAAATGGTATAGGCACTAAGTTCTATGAGTGCCAAAGAAAGACATTACTTTGGACCACAGCACATTGGGAGGGCTTCTTGGGTGAGTGAATTCTGAGCGGAGTAATGCAGATAGGATTGGAAGGAAAATGGTAAAGCGTTTAGGTGGGTAACCGGCCAGGATTGAGGAGATATCAAATGATATTTTAAGTATAATTCTGTATTATTTTTGAATGGACTTTCGTAAAGACAACCATTGCCCTCACAGTGGGCAGTTACTTTGTGTGTTTACAGTGGGTGACAATCCGGCTAGGGATGAATCAGTCTGGCCCAGCTTTTCCATCCTAGTAAAGGACAAGCAGTACATCACCCCAAGAGCCTCGGAGGCATAATGTAAAGTATTCCTGAAAGCATAGTATTATCTGTCTTATTTTATCTTAAAATCTGCATTATTTGACTTCTGTTCCTATACCTATGTATTTGTGTTAAGATATAAATAATGCTCTTTTCATTTCAAACTACTGGGATCACAGTAGGAAAAAAAAACCACTCTCCTAGGAAATCATGCCATTCCTGTCTCATGACTTCTATATCCTACTGATATACTAGTCAAGCTTCTCTAGGTATATGCTCTTTTGAGAAGAATCAGACTGATGGTTATTATAGCTTCAAAAAGTTAATTACTAATACTGAGTTTTTAAAAAGCAGTGCACATTTCATTTGCTTCCATAAACAGTCATGAAAAACAAACTGTTCAGCAAAAGCAAGGTGAGTACAAGCCAGAAAATAAACCTAGGGATTCGCAAATTTCTATTTAGGAGAAAGTTGACCATACCCGATATATTTGTTCAAATGATTTGAATTGCCTATGTCTTGATTATAAAATGCCTCTCTGACCCCTTGCCTTTTCCTGTGGCCACTTCTACTGTCCGATGTTGAATTTAAGATTTGGGACATGTGTGCAGATATAAAATGCCAAGTTTAGATAAGTGCACATTGATATATGGGAAAGAGGACAGAAAGGAAATTGACAAAAACACATGATACTTTTGGCTTCTGCTTTCTACAGGAGTGGCCAATCCCCTTTATGGCATTATCGTGCTGGTGTTTCAGACACCCAAGAATCTGAATAAAAATTTTAGGATACTTAGGCCCAGCCAGAGGAAGCAAGGACTGGGTGAATTGCTCTGTATGGTAAAGAAAAATGGAATTTTGAATTTACAAGAAGACCAAGAGTCAAAATGAGGTACCCTGAGAACACATTAAAGATTTTAACAAAACTGACGAGTGTCTAATGGGAGAGTGGCCTAGGAAAAGACTGGAAAGCCAAGGCTTACAGGGGAACTAAACAGTGAGAAAATCCTGATCATATGATAGAGTTCAGGGTTTGGCATTTTTCTTCTGAAGGACCAGATAGTAAGTCTTGGTCTCTGTAGCTTCTCCTCAATTCTGCTGTTAGAGCATGAAAGCAGCCATAAATAGGCTAACAGTGGGGGAGGCTGGGTTCCAATACCTATATTTACAAAACAGTCACTTTTTAGTCCATTGATTTCTAATATTCACTTCTACGTGTGTGCCACTTCAGTACACGTAATTTGGTAATTTCCCTTTTCACCCCGGTCCTTTAGCAAACAGCTGTTGACCACCCAACAGCTATGGTAGTAGGCTGATACTCTGACTAGGTGGCATGCAGGGATGAGGTGTGGTGACAAGCCCCTGTTGGGGAGGACAGGAAACAGGAAGGAGAGAGCAGTCCTAGGAGACCTGGTGAGGCAGAGAATTCAGTGGGAGCCAGAAAGCAGGGGGAGGTAAGTGCAAAGTCTCCACAGGATCCCCAGGTGATCCTGAACATTTAAGGGAAGGGGGAGCCAGGGGGACACCCAAGTGCCAAATGCTTGCGTTCCACAAGAAAACGAAAGCTTGCTTCTTCTCAAAGGTTTATAGCACCAGCGCACAAAAATACAGGAATGCTTTGAGAAAACAGTGCCTGGAGCACAGCGCTGACAGCCATCACCCAACCCCCTGGGAACAAGAATCTAAGAAAAGAACAACCAAGGCATTTCCAGTTCCTGAAGAACTTTCTATCTCTGGTGGCCCCAGTGATCCAGCCAGAGCGACGTCTTAGGCACATCCTGTTCTCACTTTCGCTATCTGAGTTATTGACAACGTTATGAATTCAATATGTACATTAGGTACCTGCTGTTCTCCTGATTTGTTTGCACAGTTTGAGGACTTACACCGCTGTCTTCTTGAGGATGTAAATGGATACTCTCCTTACATTTTTCGTCTGTAGTTTTGCTAATTGGCAGAGGGAGAAAAATAAGACAAATCATTTTATACATTTCAGTCTTGGAAGAAAGTAGTCAGTGGCTTCCATTTTGAAATTGAGGGCATAAGTTGCCTCGGGTTTCTGAAATCTTTGCAAGATATGTAAAAAGGACACAACCAAATCCCACCTCTCCAGACTAAATAACTCAGAGTAGGAAATAAAACTAAAACCATCCTGTACGTTGCCAGGAGACTAGAATTGCTTATACACAAGTGTCCATGCCTTCAAACGACATTTGCTTCCAAAGTCATTTTGACTGGTAAATACTGTTTACCACCACGTGGTGACACTTAGGCTTCACAAGGGCAACAGCTTTGCACAACAATCTTACACAAGGCTTCCTTCTTCCGCTACAGCGAAGATGGAAGTTCTGTTTTGTGTACAGTTAACACCCAGAGTTTGGAAAGCAGCAGCAGTTGTCCGGAGGCGTGTGAGGACTAGGGTAAATCCAAGCATTTAAGCACTTTTATTTATTTTTTTTTAATTTTTTGAAATGTTAGTGGGGGAGGGGCAGACAGAGAGGGACACACAGAATCCAAAGCAGGCTCCAGGTTCTGAGCTGTCAGCGCAGAGCCTGACTCCGGGCTTGAAGCCATGATCATGACCTGAGCCGAAGTTCGCTGCTCAACCAACTGAGCCTGCCAGGAACCCCTAAGCACTTTTAAATGTCAATAACAATCACATGTAAATAACAATAGCTCACACTTTCTGACATTCATCCTAACTGAGGCACCATGTTA